CCAAGAGAAGAGGCAGGCCTGCCAGCTGCCGAGAGGGGTTTGGGGGCCGTCCACATGCCCAACGTCGCTCTCGGAAGCCCATAAGAAGAGAGAGGCAGGCCCGAGAGGGGTTTGGGGGCGGGGCCCGTGGGTCTCTAACGTCGCCTTTGGAAGCCCATAGAAAAAGCTTTCTGGGCCAAGCTGCGGCCTGCAGGAACGTTTGCGGGCGGGGCCCGTGGGCGAAGAGAAGAGGCAGGCTTCGGACAGGCCACAGAGAGGCCGCGGCAGGCCTGCCGGCTGCCGAGGAGGGTTTGAGGGCGGGGCCTGTGGGTCTCTAACGTCGCCTTCGGAAGCCCATAGAACAAGCTTTCTGGGCCAAGCTGCGGCCTGCAGGAACGTTTGCGGGCGGGGCCGGTGGGCGAAGAGAAGGGGCAGGCTTCGGACAGGCCACAGAGAGGCCGCGGCAGGCCTGCCGGCTGCCGAGGAGGGTTTGAGGGCGGGGCCCGTGGGTCATTAACGTCGCCTTCAGAAGCCCATAGAAAAAGCTTTCTGGGCCAAGCTGCGGCCTGCAGGAACGTTTGCGGGCGGGGCCCGTGGGCGAAGAGAAGAGGCAGGCTTCGGACAGACCACAGAGAGGCCGCGGCAGGCCTGCCGGCTGCCGTGTCTAACGTCGCCTTCGAAGCCCAGAGAAAAAGCTTTCTGAGCCAAGCTGCGGCCTTTGTTTGGCCAGTGCAGGAGTGATGCCGACGCAGTAGGGCTTTGAAGGCGGGGGTGGCTGCTTAACGTGGCATGCTGGGGCTTTCGTTTGCACTGCCGCCCGTTCCACCCTCCGGTGTCCCTGGCGCCGCCCCGCTTAGGCAAGGGCTAAGCAGGGGTCGGCGGATACATATTCATTTATTGGGAACAGGGAAACTATAGAATGAGGGGCAAGCCACCTCTCGTTGGAATGATGGGCAAGTCACATCTTGTTGGAATGAGGGGCAAGCCACCTCTGGTTGGTTTATAGGATCAATGGCAAGGTTCCTGTCAATATTTTCACCTCTTAAAAAAACGCAGGCAACTAATCAGGGGCAAGCCACCTATAGAATGAGGGGCAAGCCACCTCTAGTTAGTTTATGGCAAGATCAATCAGTGTTGAATTATTTAATTACAACCATAGAGAATCAAGAAAGTTACTACTTGTGAAATACAGTATTGGTATGGCCCAGGCAATACAAATCCAGGCAACCTCTTGATTACTTTTGGAAGATATCCTCAGACAACAGCACAGTGTAATACCCAAACTCTTGTTTTCATATAGGAAAAAGGACAATTCTCGCGATAAAAAGGACGATTCTCGCGAACAATCATTCGCATCTGCGTCAATATCTTCTTGGCTGCATTGTACGCTGTAGGCTACATCTGCTGCTTAAGTGCGTGGTCTTCTAGACCCTGCTGCCATGCACGGACGTAAAATACTTTTGCAAATACATGTAACTTATACAGCTGCAGTTGTATGTATGCTACAAATGGCATGCTACAAGTACGTCTGCAGCTTGCAGCTATGGTTGTGTAGAGCTGCTGCTACGCGTTGCTTTGGTACTGGGATCTTGCTTTGGTGAGTTGCTTTGGCTATTTATATCTCTTCTTGCTTAGCCGGTAGCCTGGCCGGACAGGGCTTGCAAAATGTGACCCTCAGCGGAGATCGCGCGTGTTGAGCGCTCCGACGTGTGGCGAAGTGTGTAAGCGTCGTCGAAAGCGGAGGTGTAGGTTGCAAAAGCGTGTAAGTGTCACCGAAAATGACGGTGGAGGTTGCCAGTCAGTGAAACCGTCGCCGAAAACAAGGGCAGAGGTTGCCCAAAGTGTGTAACTATCCTTGAAGACACAGGTGGAGGAGCGTGTATAACTGTCGCCGAACAGGAAGGTGGAGGTTATTGCCAATGTAACTGTCGCCCAAGATGGAGGTGGAGGTTGCCAAACCGTGTATAGCGTGGAGGTTGTGTAGCAGGCTGCCAAAGTGCGTAACTTTGCGCGCTGTGTAGCCAAATTGCGCAAGTGATGTCGCTGTGCCGCGCGATTTACGTGGCCGCGGGGGAAAGTGCGCGCGCTTGAATGGCACAGATATTGGGCCATTTTGGGGGAAGGAAAGTGCGCTGGTGTAAGTTCGGCGTGTTAGAGGGGTGATTGGCGGCGCCCAAGGATACATTTTTGTATCCAAATTAGTTTAAAGTCCGTCTGACAGTCTGAGATGTCGCTGTGCTATGCGGTATAATGGGGAGCTGGATGATTGGCGGCGCCCGCAATGCAATGTTACATTGTATCATGTCTGTTGCACACTGCGTGGCCAAATTCCGTCTGTGATGTTGCGGCGCCTTGCGGTTTCGCGCGGCCACGGTGGAAGTTGCATTTGTGGGACTCCGTGCCATTTGAGCTGGCGTAAATTCGGCGTGTCGTAGCGGGATGACTGGCGGCCCACGTTATTATTGTATCTAGTCTGTTGCGCACGGTGTGGCCAAATTCCGTCTGTGATGTCGCTCATGCGGTTTTGCGTGGCTGCAAGTGCGTTGCAGAAGCCCGTGCCATTGGGGGAAGGAAGACGAACAAGCCGGCGTAAATTCGGCGTGTCGCTGGGGAGTGGGCGGGGTGACTGGTGCGCTGTGCCATGCGGCGGCCGCTGGGGGAAGGAAAGCGTGCTGCTGTAAATTCGGCGCGTCGCTGGGGAGCGGGATGATGTGCGGTGTCCACCGCACCGACAACTCTTGAAACGTGCGTGCGCAGTATTTGTAGCGTCTTGTAGCATACGCGCAAACGCAGCTATAAGACCATCAATTGTATTCATACACTGTCGTACACATATCTTACGCGCGCCCTCTTCTACATAACCTTTCCTTCCACGCTCCCGGGCCATCCGTTGTCGAGTTTTAATCGGCGTTTTGTTTGGGCGCGCTGGTGCTGGTGGGCGCTGGCGCGGCGCTGGCGCAGGCGCTGGTCGTGGGAGATCAAGCAGTTAGAAAGTGTTGGTAGAGGCAATGGCAGATTGGCGCTTTCTGGGCGTTGCTGCAGGTGGTGTGGGCTGGTGCGGGCGCTGGTGCTGGTGCTGGTGCTGGTGCCTGCTGCTGCTGCTGCTGCTGCTGCTGGTGGATCGGCGTTTTGTCGTGCTGGTGCTGGTGCTGCTCCTGGATCGGCGTTTTGTGTGGGCGTGCTTGTGCTGGTGCTGGATCGGCGTTTGCTTGGGGCGTGCTGGTGCGGGTGCTGGCGCTGGATCGGCGTTTTGTGGGGGGTGCGCTGGCGCAGGTCGCGCGGGTGCTTGTGCGGATGCTTCTGCTGCTGCTGCTGCTGCTGCTATTGGGCACGGTGCTGGCGTAGGGATGAAATCATGCCAAACCAGGAATGACTTCATTCATGTCATGCCAGGGGTGACATCATATCGCGCCAGGGACGATATCCGTTATTGAGCCTGACAAATGGATGACGTCAGTTCATGCCACGTCATGTCATGCCGAGGGCGACATCACGTCGCGCCAAGGATGACGTCATCGTATCATGCCCAGAATGACATCAAATCACGCCAGCGATTTCCCTAAACGCCCGCTACCTGGGACCTATGCCTGTGTACGTCAAGCCCTGCTTGTCAAACGTTTCTCCCTCTTTTGTTCTGGTGGGCAGTGCGCTCAACTAGCAGGTGAGGGGCGTAGGGCCACACATGTGTGCGCTACCTTCCCAGTGACGCCCAGGCCCAGTGTGGCTAGTCAAGTGTTCTCAGGTTGTCAATACTGGTGATGCGTGTTCAGAGCTCAATTGAGCTGGTGAAGTTGTAGCGCCGCGTCGGTTTTTTGGATTCGAAGATTGAAGACTGCGCGCGAGCGCCTATTATACATGGCGGGCAAGCAGACTGATCACCGCCTGGCACCAAAGTGGTTGTAGTGTGTTCAGGAGCAACGGCAACTACACTTGCTGCAGTCTCAACGAATGGAGTTGGAGGCGGAGGCGCCCCTGTGGAACGTTGCTCGCTCCAACGTTTGCTTTAGCCGTTGCTTTCTTGTGACATTTGGAGGAAATTCATTGTGCTTGCGCCAGCCTATAATTTGTGTTGGCTTCAGATCAAAACACGCAAACAATTTGTTCAAGCAATTCAACAATTGTTTTTCCTTAGCGAGAGCTGTTGGTGTTTTTGGTTTGATTACGTATAGTAGGCATCGGTGTTCGCTGTGGGGCCTTAAGCTGGTGCAGCTGCAGGGTGCACTGCCAGATGTATGGCTGTATGGCCGTGTGCGCTGCGGGGCGCCGCTGCACGGTGCGTGGACGCGCAGGCTCCTGTGACCGCGAACGGCGCAAAGCCGTAGCAATGCGCAATATGTGACATGAAATCAATGAAGCGAGGAGGGCCCGCCACACAGAAACAAACCGACGCGCCGTGCCCCGGCCCACCGACACGCCCACGCTCGACCGCCTGCTATACTCAAAGGCTTCTCGTCAGGAAAACACCTTGTCCCTCGCCAACCTCTCTTCCACCGCCGGAAACAAAGCGACAGCTGCCGCGATTCATTTCTGAAACCGCGCTCCAAAATGAGCCAAAACATTCCACCCTATGTTGCTTGAAACCATTGTAACGAAATGGGTGTTCTTCTTTACAAGACGGTTGCAAGACGCCCGACAACGTAATTTTGGGCATGTTTGTTGCCAGCAAAAAGGTTTTCAAGCTGATGCTCTCGATTCATGGTCACACAATCGATGGACGCCTGCCTGGCACCATTGGCGGACGGCAGATTCATTGTTGGCCGTTGACGAAGCTCTTAACGCCGTGACTTGCAGTGTCCCTGCGTATATATGGCGTCGCCAACGCAGCGGTAGGTCAGGCGCCTAAGCTTTCCACTCGCAAAATTCCACTCGCAAAATGCAACGCGACAAATGCATCAACAGTTGCGTGAATTTTCAAAGGTGTTTGTCTGGTGCTCTGAGGGTGTAAGGGGCGCCTTTTTTGCGCACATGACGAAGATGAAGAAGAGCGGGGCCTCTCTGCGCCCCGATTGTGGTTGCGCCTGTTGCACCTCCGTGATCCTTTTTGATGTAGCCCCGTGAGCTCCATGTTGAGCTGCGTGCTAATTATAAATCGCAACTGAAACATACTGAAGCAGCGTGAAGCTGCGCCAACTTGACGGCTATGATGCGACAAGAACGCAAGTAACGCAAGCGTTCTCCTCAGTCTATCCGATTCTGTCCATTTTTTGGGGCGCTCATAATTATGGCGCACGGTCACTTCTCAGCTTACGTTGCCCGATGTCGCTTCACCAACACTGCGTGACGGGACGCCCGGGACGCACTTGTGCAAAGAAGAGGCCTGAACGGCACGGGCTTTGGAGGGCAGGGCAAAGAGGAAGGTGCGCTCCCCCTGACCACAGGGCTTGCTGGCTTTTCGCTGCTGTTCCAGTGCTGTTTTGCCTGGAGCGGCCGTCCGACGACAACAATCATGGCTGTTTCTGGGGTAACGGAATCCTGGTAGGACTCTTTGGTCATCGGCCATATGTCGCCAAGCAGTTTTATTGTTGAGGTTCCCTCTTGGAGAGAAACGCATGCTGTTTTCCTGTTGCCCTCACGCTGGCAAGCCCTGTGTCCTTCCCTATAGTACCATAGCCCTCCTGGCGTCCTCCTGCGAATCAAGCAAGCATTTTTGGCTTAGATGCCGTTCCCAGACAATGGATGCCAAAGGGATATGATTACGGACAGCGCCGCCAACACTTGAACCCAAGGAGTTGACGCCAAGAAAAAAAGGTGAAACTTGCGGCCTACTTTTTGCTGTCGTGCGTCAAACTGTTTCAACGCCCAAGATTCGCGGTTGCGACGCTGTACCGACCAAGGAAAACAGGTTTTGGTTGGTTTCTAACTGCAACAAATTGCAATAGTTGCCAGCGTTCTCTTTGGTAGCAGGTAGCTGCAGCACGGCGCGGTCATGAAGTTGAAATGGGTGAGCTCCGGGCAATTTCAAAGGCAGGTTTGCAGCACTGTCTTTCATTCTTTGTAGTAGCACAGTCAGCAAGAAAGAACCCAATCCAAGCTTCGTTGTATCATTTTTGTTGCGACGAGCTCACGATTCCTTTTTGCGCTCGTATGCCTTGAATCTGACGAGATCCATCTATGTTGATTGGGGTGGATGATTTCTGGGCGTGGGCGGAGTGATTACAGTTGTGTTGTTTGGTTTGGAATTTCGCGGCTGGTGAAAAACATGGCAACGACGATTAGGAATAGCTAGCGTTCACGGCAGCTAGCGTCAGGTAGCTGGAGTTACACTCTCTTTAGCAAGTCACTGGCTGGGGGATGGAATGACCTACCCGCAATACTTGTGTAATTAGCACCTGTTCTAGTTAGTTGTCCGTAGATCACTCGTATCTTTTAAGGCTCAAGGTTTATCCGGACGCACACTGCGCATCGCCATTGCAGAAAAGAGAGCTCACTGTGCCGATCGCTCTCTCGACAGACTTAGGCAAACCCGTGTGTTCGCTCACAGGTCCAGTACACGCAGGTTCTCAGTACTGCCACTTTGCAGAATTCACCCCCCAAAGTGGTAGCGGAGCTTGTGTCTCCTGCATCGTTTCCTGCAGATTCGCTTCGCGTGCATCTTTTTGACGTTCCGGACAGGAGTTTGCCTTCAAACTGAATGAGCATGGTCCGGCTCTTGAAAATAGATACGGACAACGAAGAGGAACTCAGTCAGGAAGAGTCGGAGCCTGACCAGGCATTTGCAGCATCGAGCTCGATATGCCGAGCGTCGCAGTCGAGAGGTTGAGGTTCGACGTTCAGGACTTATAATCTTAACCAACGCCAGGAGTGAAGCTGACTCCATTGATTTCCCCATCTCTTCCGACCGTCTTGGTTGACGATTGGGTGAATATCACCGTGCTTCCCGCTGAAAAGCTAGGTCCATCATTGAAGAACGCTTTGACCGGAGTGATGAAAGGCGCGGCGCCCTCACCAATCGAATTTGTAAGCTGGATAGCCCGTTTTGAGTTTGCTTTGAAGAAGGCAGATTTACACAACTTGCACATTCAGCAGGAATATTAACATCAACTTCTTCAGCGAACTCAAGATCCGCAAGAACGAAGGGAAGAAGCAAAAAGATCAGCAATTGCAATGAGCATGAACATTGCCTCAAAGCAGCGCGCCGAGCGACATTTCCTTTGTCCGACAATTTGATGTCGCTGCTTGCCCAGGTCCAGTCTGAAGAAAGATTCGTAGCCAGTATGTCCTGACGACAAGTAGGAATGAAGAAGTACACGACACCTACACATTACATTGCAGTGCAAGGCTTGTTTCTTGAACTCTTTTGCGGTACTGCCACAGGAACAGCAGACCCTTCAATTCCCGGACAGAGAAGATCCACTTTCCTTGTTCTCGATGAAGGAGACTTGGAGGAAGAGACCGGATACTGGTGGTGGATCAGGATACGGGCGAGGAAGGATTTGTGAGTTTGCTCGCAGAATCCATTTCTAGGGTGTTGCGAGCCAAAGGTGGATACGCCCGTGGAAAGATACGAAGAAGGTTTGGCAAACCACCAAGAGGCGGCAAGGGCAAAGGCCGCAGAAATGGTAGGAGACCCGGCTTCGCAAGCCGTAGAGGCGACGGTGCAGGCTTCCCGATAACTCAAGCTTTTATGGAAAAGGTAAAAAAGGCAAGAACGGTGGGAGGAAAGGGTTCAAAGGAAAGGATGCTTTCAAAGGTATCTGAATCAAAGGAAGAACCAACCGCTGAGAAAGTAAAAAGAAACCACCAAAGGTTTCAATGACTTTGCCGCAGCTTTGCATCGAATCCACGAAAAGCTATAGCGTCCGACTGAACTTGTCAAACATCGCCTGAAACACTATCGGGGGTCAGCTGAGCAGTGTGGGAAAAGAGCTTCAGTTTTGAAGATTCCCGCTAAAATTTAAGAACAGTACTGTATGAGATGAAGGGTATGAGAAGACAGTCTGAGCTAACATTTTGTCGACCGCGGAGATTGTAAGTTAATGACAGAGCAAAATTCCTGTTTCTGATCATCTATGACTTAGCAACGCCATCTTCCGACGTTGCCAGAAGCCTTCGACAACTGTATCACTGCAGGCAAAGACGCTCTTGCGCGAGTCCTTGCTGAATTCCGCCGTGGCCGACCAAGTCGACATCGTTACAGGTGACGCAGGCTAAACTTAATTGCAAATCAGAACTTCAAGGAGGATCGACGTTCCGATCCGCCGCGTCCACCCGCGCGTAAGAAACTTGGTCCTCCGCGCCAACGCATCGCATACAACTTTGAGTGTTCCACGTTGGCTACTGAGACCATCAAGGCGATGGAACGAAAGGAAGCCGATGTTGACTGTATGCTGACCATCTACCTGAACTATGATGGCAACGATATGCGTACTCGCGCCTGTACTTCCCACATGGCGAATGACAAAATGCTGCTATGAAGGTGATCCCAGGCAAAAGGAAGGTCTTATCAAGGTCAATGAATACCTTAAACAGACCTTTGCCCAGCGCGCGGATGAGAGCTATCAGCGTCCAAACATCTGTATCCGAAGCATCGCGTCTCACCAGCAGCGCAAGGCGCGCCAGAAACGGGACCGACGCTCCAGTGGCCAAGACTGAAGTCAGCGCCAGGGCTGGAGCTGTGGACACTGGCCATCATCTTCTTCGGGTCGTCCTGGCATCCTGGGAGGAGTCTTCTAGAAGAGGCTGGAACTGGCAGATCATTGGGTTGAAAGACGTCGACGTCGTTCCGACATCCAGCGCAAGGTAGATTTGAAGCGTTTGAGATTGCAAGCGACTGACATTACGGTTTTCCACCTGAGGAACCTAGATGATTAGGTCGAAAGCGAGCCGGAGTGGCTTACGCGGTGTCGTCTCGCGAAGTTGAGACTAATTCACTTGCGCGTATAAGGCTCGTATACGAAGAAAGTTTGTGTCTGTTTGTAACTTGTAGCGCCCTACGCGTGTCTACGCAATACATGTGTAGGACCTGTTCTAGTTAGCTGTCCGTAGATTACTTCTGTTGTAGAGTTCTAATTCATCTGTATCTTTTGGCTCAAGATTGAGGCCCGACACGCGTTGCACTCCGCCATTGCAGAAAAGAGCTCGCTGCGCCATTCGCTCTCTCGACAGGCTTAAGCCAACCGGGCGTGTTTGTTCACAGGTCCAGTACAGATTCCTAGTGCCAGCCCCCACCCCCGGGTTCAACTCCCCCCACCTCTGACTCAGGAAGCGCTACATAAACATATTGCACGCGCTCAATAGGCTGTTGCGTCAGACAAGAGAATGCGTTGGATCAACGTACTATGTGTTATCAAGGCTTGTCACCGTTTGTGCAAGTTCACATATGAAGGTTCTATACCTCTGCAAGTTTGCCGGTTAGCATCAGGTGTACCTTTGGGGAATGTGATAGGCTGTCTTGGACAAGGCCGAGTCATACAATCTATCTTTGGAAAACTTGATCCAGGAGCATGGTGTCCAGATCGCAGAAGAAACACGCAAACGCAATTTGTGATCGTGTGGAAATACAAGCATGCAGTGACCGCAGCCGCAATGAGGTCACAACAACGCCAAGGTGTGAACTACAACATTCACACCAATGGATGATCTCAAGATGCTTTCAGTTTTTTAGATGACAGCGGTGCAATCCTTGGCGGCAAAAATTGCACCAGTTATTTGTTGAAGTGCCGACAAACCGTCCTTGTTAGCGTACTGCAGTCCGCCATCCATTGCAGAGGTTGTAAAGAGGTTGTACAGAAATTCGATTGTGCATTGCTGAGCTGATGAACTACCAAGTCAAAAAACACGTTTTCTGTCTTCGGGGGGCACTCACACTTGCAATGTTTTGCTGTTTTTTCATTGACACCCTCTCTGCGAGGTCATCGAGAAAGGCTCCGCTGTTCATTGCGTTTCTGCCTACGAAGGTGACGTGAAAACCTCAGATGTCACCACAGATGGGAGTATGGCGGATGGTTTTTTTGTACATGAGGTCCTTATCCTGGGAAGCGATGGGGTGGGGGCCTCACTTTTTAGCAGAACAGCGTGCAAGATTGGAATTCAATTTGCCTGTGTCGATCTGTGTTGTAGAATGCCAGCGTAGAATGGCAACCAAAAGAGCGTGCTTTTGCGTGTCATTGCAGACAGGTTGAGGAGAAAGCGCACACACACCACACTACACAGCGTGTGTTGCGTGCCCCGCACCCCAGTCCAAGTTTGTGTTGCTTTCCTCAAACTTCTCAGAAGGTGAGTCACAAGCTTACAAGATGAAAGTGTAATGAACTAAGGAAAACATGTTGACATGTCCCTATTTTGAAAGAGAAAGAGAAAGAGAAAAGAGAAAGAGAAAGAGACAGAGCCAGAGACAGAGAGAGAGAGAGAGAGAGAGAGCGCGAGGGAGAGAGAGAGAGAGAGAGTGGGAGAGGGAGGGAGAGGGAGAGGGAGAGGGAGAGGGAGAGGGAGAGGGAGAGGGAGAGGGAGAGGGAGAGGCAGACTGCAAAGGTAAGTTTGGCTTGGCACGGATCGTGGTCTTTTATGTTTGGCAAATGGTGTATCCTGCATCACCAACAAGCGACGCGATTAGCGAGCAGGTTGAAGGGGGTCAGGGGTTGGCTTGTGAATGGTCGTTCTGGATACTTCAATACTCTGACAAGTGGCTGTTCATTATTTGCAAGCTTCATTTTTCGCAAGACTTGTCAAGCTTCCCATCCCAGGTATGTGGAAGCTCTGTGCAAGCACTTGCGAACGCGCGCAACACTGCAGCATCATCATCATCTCCAGAAGCACATCAATCTAGAATCTAGAGACCATGATTTTGCCCAGCTTCAGCCTGCGAAACTTATATACCACCACATAGTTTTTGGAAGCAGGTTGTGAAGGGGACTATATAATATAGTTAAAGATGAAAGAATCTATATAATGTTAGCCAGCAGCGATCCGAAAGTAGGAAGTTGGGAGTAGAGATTAGTACGTCTTAGTGGTTTGAGTGTGAGCGTCGACCGCGTTTCGTGACCCGTTGATCCTTCGCTGCTTGCTGCCGATCCCAATCACAGGATTCTTTTGCCTCATGCGCCCCGGGCTTTCGCACGTGTTTAGGGAGGACTCGTTTCATTGAAGAGAAAAATTGCGAACAGCGCGAGGTGTGTGCTAGATGCACGTTATTTGGTGTGAAGATGTTGGCGGGGAAAGGGCGGCGTTGTTTCGCCGAGTGCCGTGGAGAGGAGAGTAGCCGACGCTTGCCTTGCATGTCCTACAGAGGAAGTTATCGTTGCGCTATGAGGTCTTCGACAATCTTTTCTTGGACGAGATTGTGGAGGCTGCGTGTGAAAGCGCTTTTGCATAGACATGGTTTGTTCATGACTTGGGCAGCGTTAATCCGAGCTTTGTGTGGCAGGATGTTGCTTTAAACATGAGAAGCAAGTCCCCAGCAATTTCCAGTAGTGCCTCTTGTGTGAGCCAGAGACTTTGATAATCTTTGACGCACAGCCTGCTGGCGCCAGATTTGCAATGAGATCCTTCCAGCTCCGACGGCAAACCACTTTTCCCCGATGCCGGCGCAGTACTTGAGTCAGGCAAGCAGGGCAATCTGGGGGGCGTCATGTTATATAGTTATATAGTATTACATAACGTTGGTTGCGCAAGAGCGTCAAGAGTGTGGCGAAGTCCAAAGGCTTTGATTTAACTGCGGGTTGTTGGCTGTCGCTCACTCATCCGCAGAATGGCAAGCGCTACTGTTAGACATTTTTTGCACATCCCACACTGTTTGACATGAGTACAGTCATGAAAGATCCAAACCGCCTCACAGTGGCCCGAGCACCCTTTGAGAAAAGGGACCGCTGCGTTTGCTACCGCGAACATGGTAGCGGAGCTGATCAATGCATCAGCTCCATCTCCGCCGCATCGCGCAAAGCCATGTCGACTAGGTCACTGGCTGGTTCTTTTCATCACGATGGCGAGCGTCGAGGGCTACCAGGGCAACATCATGGATGACCAGGAGGCCCAGGACAAGCTCTTCTACAAGTACATGGTGATGGAGAAGGACTTTGGTGGGGATTGGAGCCTCACTGGCATGGACCTCAATGAGGTGTTGGATGAGAAGGAGGTTGAGCAGTGGATTGGCGCCACTTTGGCACGGCGGATCGGTCCCGCTCGTGGAAGGCAGCTCATGGCCAAAGGTCAAGTGTCGGGGATTGGCTCCCGGACTCTTGAAGATGGTCGATGTGACCTTGGACATCGACAAGTCGGAGATTGGCGCTTGGACTTCATGAATGTAGATGAAGTGGTGGTGGTCGTGGGCTTTAATGGCAACTACACCGACTTCAAGAAAGAATTCCTTTTTCGACTTTATGAGCAAGTTCCTTCAGGAGCATGAGCTGTAGCAGGTCTTGGACAAGGTGAATGCGACGATTGGCTTGAAAGCTCTATGCTTCCTGGCCATCCTGGTTGGATGTGGAGTTGAGTGGACAATGAGCCGAATGCGCAGGCGCAGAAGACTTCACTCGAGAAAAACGATGGTGAAGGGCCACTTGGGCTACTACAAGAAGAAGAAATGGAATGGTGGGCTACGTGGACGCTTTGAGCACAAGTTGCAACTTCGTGGATTGATCTTCATGACTTTGTGGCGCAACACCTATGCCATGGACCAGGACCAGATGAACCGCATTCTCTCTCAGGTGATGACCTTGGCGGACGCAGCGACCACCGCAGCAAGAGCTTCTTCATCGGTGATGGAGAAGATGCAGAACAGGAAAGAAGGAGGAGGGTTCAGCGAGGCTTAAGATCTTGCGCTCTCCTGAAAGCTTCGATGTTGACGACCTGCGGCTTGGAAAGAAAGCTTTACCAACTGGCTGGCCTATGGCAACTACAAGTACTCAGAGCTCCTCAAGGATGTTGAGGCCTTGGACGAACCTTGCAAGCTTTCAGATTTCGCCAGCGAGGAGGTGAAAGAGGTGGCAAAGAAGCTCTATGCCGTTTTGGCATCCTACATCAGAGGCCCTGCTTCTCAGATTGTCAGGGCAGCTGCTGGAGAACGCAACGGCTTCTTGGTTTGGCAGCAGCTTCGAGATTTGTACATTCCTCGCGCACGACCTCGAACGATGGCAACTGGTCAGGCGATCATGAGCTAAGAGCTATCCCTCCTTTCAGGCTGGCAAGAGCATGCTTGAAAAATTGCTCTAGATCTTCTTCTAGATCAATATCAACTAGCCTCAGGACATGCTATGCCTGAAGACCTTGTGGTGGCCATGGTTGTTTGTTGCGTGGTGCCCAATGTGAGACAACACATGGAACTCACCTTGGACGACAAGATTGACTACTACACGTTGCACGTTGAAGGAGAAGTTGATCTTGATGGACAAGAACAGCAAAGCTTGGTCAGGAGATTCCTATCTGAAGATGGTTCAGAACTGCATGAGCTCCAGTTCCAATGGACCAGCGCCTATGGATGTTGATCAGGTTGGCCAAGTCTCCAAGCGCAAAGACAAAGGTGGCAAGAAAGGCGGCGAAGGAAAGAAAGGTGGTTGGTTTCCTTTTGGCTATAACAGCAGCAAGTATGGTGGCAAGAGCTTCAAAGGCAAAGGCAAGAAAGGCAAGGGCAAGAAAGGCAAGAGCAAGTATGGTGGTCGTGGCAGAGGCAAAGGCGGCAACGTCAATAACAACACACGCCATGTTTGTGGACAACAAGGACATTGGGCAAATGAATGCCCCAACAAGGCTCAGACCGTGACACAGCAGAGCTTGGCTGAGAGTGACATCGCGAGCTCAGCTGGTGGAAAAGCGAGATCAACAACAGCGTCATCAATCGCTTCAACGAATGTGCCAAAGACGGTGAGACAGGTGACTTTGTACCACGTGGCAGCTCCCGGGGAAGAGCAAGAGACACCCATCCTGTACGAGATCCAAAGTGAAGGGGGAGACAGCGCGATCTTTGACGACCACTACAAGATCAACGTGGTCAGCGTCAGCGTTTCCCAGGATTCTGAGACTGATGAGAACTTTGACAACTCCATCGAGGACAAGACCAACAAGTGGTACTATGACTTGCAGGCAAGATGCTATGTCATGCAGGATGATCAGATGGAGGATGATGAGGAGAAGCCTGAACTTTTCCATGTGGGCATGGTGAAGATGTCCCAAGAGAAGATGTTGATTGTCTTGGACTCCGGTGCTGATTGCAGCGTTCTCCCAAAGGAGGTGGCCAGCCGTGGGCAACCTCAAGATGGTGGCAAGGCAATTCTCGAAGATGCCCAGACGCAGCTGAAGACCCATGGTCGAAAGTTAGCTCAGGTCAAGTGCGACTTGGGCATGGCTAGATCTGTCACCATTGAAGATGATTTCATTGTTGCTTCTGTGCAAACACCATTGGTGGGCCTTGGGCGGCTTCTTCTACAACGAGGTTGGCGCTTGACTCAGGGCAACTGTGAAGCTGGAGTGAATTTGGTCGCCCCAGATCAAAAGTGTGAGATCCCGCTTTTCTTCAAGAAGAACAGCTTGGCACTCTATGGATGCATCAACCGAGTCCATGAAGGACCTGAATAGGTGAAATGCGAGATCAATGTGGCTTTGATCAATGCTGCTGACGAAGTG